CTTTGCTGTCAAAGCTGGCAAGAACAGAGGAGGCTCAAGGGAGCAAGTGGGTCTTTATAGTCTTGCGGTCTGTGTAAGCAAGAGGGAACTCTGGGAGGATGATGGCGCCCTCATCCCTGCTAAAGCCAGGGTGAGGAGTTGTGGGCCGGGAGCTGCCTCTTTGTCTCTGATCCCTGCACCTCTGTGTCCACCTGCCAGAGCCTATCCCTGTGTGTGGGCTTGGCACTTTTCAGTTCCCAAAGTGCTTCATTTATTTGTTCATTCATTAATTAATTCACAATTCATTCGTGTTATGCACGTGTTGATTAGGACTCACCACGGATCATGATCTGTATAGGACGCCGGGGTTATGAAGACCCTATAGACAGATCCCCAGGACGTGTCATGTAGTCAGATGGCCATGAATCTTAGGAGAGATAGGTGCTTGGCACACAGTAGGCGCTTCCATTAGAATGTGTGGGCAGCGTACAACAGAAAACCCCACAACAGGGCTCAAGCAACTGAGACATGAAATGTTCTCGTAGAACCTGATGTTTTAGAACGAGGGTTGCCCAGCTGCAGACTGTGGGCCAATTAGGGCCACTGTCTGCTTTCATTCAGCTCACAAGCTAAGGACGGCTTTCATACACAAACATTCTTCATTGATTTGACAACAGGGAAAACGCAACGAAATTTGAATCCCAAGTAAGCAAAATGTTATTCCCCCCTGCAAAAGAGAATGTCATTGTTTTCATTAGATCTGGGTTATAAAAACTTGTCCTTGATTGTTATATTTTGAATTTCATTAATACATTTTGATGAAATTTGTGGAAATTTGTTTTCTTTCTTATTAAATTAATACTTACATAATATAATTGATTTTGTCTCTTGGCTCACAAAGTCTAAAGTAGTCACTATCTCTCCCTTCACAGAAAATGTTTGCTGGCCCCTATTCTAGAGGGAGGTGGCTCCCGCTTGGTCAGACGCTCCGGGATGTCAACAAGGACTTCTTCCCTCTTTACCGTCTTTGGCTGTGGGGGCTTTTTAATCCTTAGCTTGTTGCCTCATGGTTGCAAGATGGCTGCCACAACCAGACATCAGGTGCCCTCATGACAGCATTCAAATCAGGAAGAAAGGAGCAGGCAGGGGCAGAAAGGGATGCTTCCTAGAAGCAGTTGTTTCCCAAGAGCAAGTTTCCTCTCTCATCCCAGTGGCCAGGTCTGGGTTGTGTGCTCAGGCCTAAAAGGATCTCTGGAGAAGGGGGATGGGGTGCCTGGCTCAGCTTCACCCAAGGCTTCTGTCCTCAGAAAGCCAAACTCTTGTCAGAGTTTGCTGACGAGTGCAGTGTGGGGTCTGGGGTAGGGACAGAAAGCCTGTCTCTGAGCCTCCACCCCTGTGGGCTGTATGATCTGGGAAGTACTCAACCTCCTCCCCTGTGGAGCAGGGACCACGACAGCACCTGCTGCATAGGGAAGTCGTGCAGGTGACGTGGGTCATGTGTGCAGGTGCCTGGCTCATGGGGGTGTTAACACCTGTCAGCTATCAGCTATTGCGGGGATGAGGCCCATCTGTAAAGTGGCCCATGGTGCCCTCTCTGTAGCAGTCCCAGAGGTGACAACAGCAGGAATATCAGTTCACAGGTGCGAGCACTTCCTACGCGTGCAGGGCACCCTGTACCTGCACTCGCTCACCTAATCCTCACAGCCACCCAAGGAAAGAGCCCTTTTCATCCTCATTTTACGTCAGAGGAACCAAGGCTCAGGAAGGGGAACCTAGGTGGAGTGAGGGCAGGTGGGGCTCCAGGGTGCTCAGAGTCCGACTGCTGTGCTCTGACCTACTGCAGGGCCCTGGCACAGGCAGGTGCCCAGGTGACCCCTTTCCACCCTGGGTCCAGGCCAGTGGCTGGGCCAATTGCTCTCCCAACCCTGTTGTCTGTCCCTCCCTGGGCTCCAGGGCCCTAGACATGCCTGTGGTGTGGGGAGATATGCCACCGTCCTGGCTGCCCTCCTGCCCAGGATAATGAATGGACACATTCTGTGTCAGCAGTAGTGGGAATGCACGACAGTCAAGCTGGTGACGCCGTGTCTTGGTTGTGAATTGGCAACTTGCACTTTTTTGTGAAACAGGATACAATTATGTAGAACATAAGCATATGCTAATCAGGGATAATTACACTCCATATTTATAAATTTATCAAAATATGCAAAACCCACTTCCATAATTATACACCCACAGGCACACTACAGTTTAACAGCTGCTCGAGGTCTCTCCCCAGCACCATAACGTGAGCTTGGGCACCAAGTGGGACCCGAAGCCTGCAGCCTAGCTCTGCTGGGGAAGCCTCCACTGTCACTGCTGTTGGCCCCATGCAGACCTGCCCCCTTGCTGTCCTTGTCAGCCTTCCTGGTGCTCCTGGATTCCTAGTTTGTGGAGGCTGCGGGGTGGATTCAGGCAGAGGAAGCAGCATGTGTGAGGACACTGAAGCAGGAGAGGTGCGGTGACTTGGAGGATCTGAGCCAAGCCTGAGTGGAGCAGAGCACGGGCTCAGGGAAGGAGAGGCTGGTGGGGGCGGGGGGTGGCAGCAGACTGCTGGGCTTCATGGGTGGAGACGAGGAGAGATGAGCTGTGTTAGGGAGCAGTGGGGAGCAACTCCCTTTCCCCTGGGGAGGTGAGGAATGAAGCCCCCTCTCCCAGGTTCTGGCCAGAGGCTGAGAACCCGGAGCTGGGGACAGGGGAAGAGGGGTGGGGTAGCAAAGGCTCAGTCCTCTTAGGGTATGGTCTGTCATCAGATGGGGACCCCATCAGAAAAGATTCATTTCCCAGGGGCTCAGCTGTTTCTGACTCCCCCAGTACAAGGAAATTTAGGAACAGCAGAAATGGACCTATTTGGTATAACTATCACATAAAATAGCTGACAGATAACCATTTTGACATGTAAAGACAGCAATTTCAGTGGATCCAAAGTAATGTTTTTGCCACCAGCAGTGACCAGGTTGCTTTTCCTTTATCAAAACGATACTTTCGGTGAGAAACCTGCCTCATCCTTCCCTCCACTTCCCTTCCTGTCCCTCCCTGGATGAGATGATCCCTGGCAGAATTTAGAGGAATCAACCATAGTAACAGTTGCCAAATGTTAACCTGAGATTTTTAAACTTGGGGAGGTTTAAAAAGATGGACTCCTACATGCCAGCCCCTGAGACTCAGATCAGCTGGTCTGGGCTAAGCTGCCAGCTGCCTCCCCAGCGAGCAGACTCCCAGGAGTTCCTCAGATTCTCAACCCTGCCCGGCTCAGAGATACCAACAGCTCCTTATTGCTTGGTGGAAAAATCCAAACTCCTTATCCCAGCCTGTGGAATCCCCCGCATCAGGCCTCACCTCACTCTGCCCCCACCATTGCTCCACTTCCCTTTGGGAACCCCTGGCAGGACCAATTGAATGGGATTTGATTAAACAATAGATCTCCCTGCAAAGCCACACTGTATGTCATTCTCTGTGACACAGGCTGGTGCCGATACTCCATTTCACAACTGGGGAAATGGAGGTGCCAGGGCTCATAGCGTGAGGATTTTAACTTCATCCAAGGCTACAGCTGCCACTGCTTCTGCCTCTTAAACTTCAGTGCTTTGTTCATCTACTCAATAAATATTTGTTGAGCATCTACTACATGCTCAGCTCTGTTCTAAGTGCTAGGGATGCAACAGATAGCAAAACAGACACGGCTTGCCAAGGAAGGGGGATAGATTTGGTTGGTAAAGAAACAAAAAACAAAAACTGAGCTCTCTTTAGATTTAGGCAGCTTATGACTTGAATAGCCAGCAAAAGCAAGGTCAGCAAAGTGCCAGCCCCCCACGGCCCATTGCCCACAGGATGACCTGAACACAGAGGGGCCCGATGACACCATGACGTGGGCAGTGGGGTGATCTGTTGCTGAGAAGCTGATCCGTGCTGTGGCTAAGCAGTCGACAGCCTGCAGCTGCACCCTAAGGCAGCCACTCTCATATTCCCAGCGTTCACGAGCATTCTGCTAAGACTTGGATCAGTGGCAGTTCAGTCTTGCCTACAGGGTCAATGTGGAGAGAATAAGGGGCCCAATGGCAGGGCCACTCCTGTACACAGCCCTGTCTCAGGGGCCCTTTTGAATCCATGAGTTAAAACTCCCAGGTAATTCCAATGGGAAGCATGCAGTGAGTGCTCTAGTTTAGAGTTTGTGTGATTTCCAAGGATTACTTGCAGCCCTGCCACCCCCACCCCCTACACACCCCAATCACATACTGTTTGTAAAATACAACATACACATCTGTGTCTATTTCATATCCAGTTCTTAGCTGCTAAGCACCACCTGCCCATCTTGCCATTTCAGGTTCACCTACTCCATGAGCGGGGCTTAATTTCCCCACTTTTCAGACGGAACAAGGCAGTGGTGCCAGAGCTAATCATTGGCAGAACCAAGACTTAGATCGAGGCCTCTCTGGAAGCCTCTCCCCTTGACTCCTCACACCACTCTGGCCTCCTAAGCCCAAGATGCTGACAAGCTGTGTCCAAGGTTCTGCCATGTTCTAAGCATCCCAATAGTGTCCCATGCTCACACCTGGCATTCTGCTGTTTTTTGACCCTTACTTTGTGATCTTGACAATTCTACTCTCTTAGTGTCATGCATCTCTACGTCCAACAATAAAAGCTTCTTCTTTCACTGTGTTCAATAGTTTCTGACTCCCACCTTTGGTGAGTGTAATCTCTGTGACTCTGTGACTGCCCCCAGCCTGAGCCTGCCCAGGGCTTCAAGTTACTCCACTGCTCCCCTTTTAAGCTCCCTCCAAACCATTCAAGGCCTCTCCCTTCTCTGGGGCCCATTTCAGACTTTCTGAGTTTGTGGCTATGGCTGTCACCTGATGTTATCAGTCATGACAATGGCAATTAGAACAATTAGGTCGGGTGATAAACTCTTGCTGGATTTGGGACTCATGGTGAGTCAGGGCCTTGCCCGTTAAAGAGCTGCCAGTCACCCCAGCTATGCCTGATAGGCCCTGGTCAGCCCAGATAATGGCATTGGCCTCAATGACAAGGTGAGCGACTTCCTCCAGGTTCACATGGGCAGACAGTGCTGTCCCTCTCTGCCCATGGCAGGCCTGCGCTTCCAGGCCCCCAGCGTGGTGGCTGTTTGTGGTCCAGGTTCCCCCCTCCCTGTTTCAAACCTGGAGGACTTGTGCTCACCTCTGTGGGGCTTCTGCATTCTCGTTCCAGATCCTGACTAGATAAGGGAAAGCTTGATCCCATCAGTGGTCTCCAAGCCCAGGCACAGGTGGACGGAGGCAGTGTGGCCGCTGGTTAGACCACAGGCCTCGGCTTCCAGCCTGGGTTCTGCCACTGTTTTGCATGAGGCCTTGGGTAAGTTAACCTCACTCTCTGAGCTCAGTTCCCTCACGTGTGAGTTGGTAATCACAGCATCTGCCTTATGGGGTGGGGCCAGACTTCAGTGAGATCATGCATGTCATGGGCTCAGCAACCACTAGCACACACTGCAGGGACAAGGGCTGTTCTCCTTCTTATTGCTGTTGTTGTGTTGGGGCTGGTGATTTCTCTGGCCCCAAGTGCACCCGGGTGGTCATCTCCTGCCCTTGAGGGTGCTGGCCCCAGCTGGACCGCTAACCATTGGAGCAGTGAGAACAGAACAGACCCTGGACCCCACATACCTGGGTTCAGATTCAGCCTCCAGCGCTCACTCAATGTGTGACTTGGGCAAGTGGCTGAACCTCTGTAAGCCTCATCAGTTTTTCCACCTGTAAAATGGGCACATAATACTGACCACACAAGGATATTGTGATTTGAAGACAGTACCTCGGCTGAAGCCAGATTCCAGAGCTCAAATTGCACTTTCAGGGCTCACTTGGGCGCACAATTTTGGGCAAATTCCCCGACCTGTCCGCCTTGGATTCTCATCTGTAAAGCAGCATCGCTTGCTAGGGTGCTTTCATTCCTCTCAGCCCTGAAGGAGCAGCGGCACTCAGGAGCATCTCAGGATCTCCCTTTCTGCCACCACTGCACTTAGAGATGAAGAAACTGAGGCCAAGGGACACGGAATTAAATATCTGAGAACAAGACAGAATATGATTATGCTACATTACGCAGGGCAGACCATTAGAGAACAAAACGATCTATACTAAAGGGATAATTGCAGGGGACAAAAGCTAAGTGGACCAGGAGCCTGAGATGAAGGAGAGAAAAATGCAGCCTGGGACGAGGACGGCCTCGGCCAGGGCCCGGGTGTTCTTGTTAATAATATTGATCTTTCCCCGCGACATAGCCATGCATCCTTACTGTGAAGCATTTGGCAAGTGCAGACATTTCTGTAAGAGAGTATATAACTCATCCGGTATCTTGCCTCTCAAAGTACTCGTAGTACTCGCCTATTAACACCATTTTTTTCATTCCTTTTCCTCTTCTTACACTAACATCTATTTTCATAACTGCTTTCACATTCGTGTGGCTGTCAGGATAGCCTAGGATATGGTACAAAAACAATCAACCCTCCAAAACAGCAAAGGTAATTTCTTGCTCTTGCTACACATCCCCGCTGACCGGCAGGGAGGCGTTACAGACAGCAGGGACTGTCACCGATGGAGGCTCCACTGTTTGAGGATGTCAACATCTCCACATGTGCTTCTACAGTCACTGGGACAGGGAAGGAAGACAGGGGAGCTGAGCGCTGACTCGTAAATGCTCCCACCTGGAAGGGACACTCGCCACCTCTATTCACACTTGATTGGTCAGTGCAAGTCTCACGGCCACCCTGACGTGAAGGCCACGGGAGATGCTGTTCTCCTGTGGGCCCAGGTAAAGAAGTGGACATTGGTGGACCCACCTGTGTCCTCCCATGTACAGATACAGATCTGAGGCTTTCCTACCTGACACTCCAGGCTGATGAGTTTCCCATTGCATTGTATATTCATGGAAATTGTCCACGTGATTAATGGTCCTCCTAAACTCCTACTTTTGAAATTTGAAGTTTCTATTTTTTTTCTTTACTGTCATAAATTACACCGCAGTGGCTAGCTTTGTTCTTACATCTGCCTCTACATTTCTATTTTGTTAGAAAAGATTTCTATAGGGAGATGCTGAGTGACATAGTATGAAAATTTAAAAACTAGTAATACCAAGTATTTATGGAGTGAATAATTCTCAGGTCTTGTTGGCTCAACTTTAATGTAAACCCAGGGCCGGTGTGGTGGCTCACACCTGCAGTCCCAACACTTTGGGAGGCTGAGGCAGGAGGATTGCTTGAGTCCAGGAGTTTGAGACCAGCCTAGGCAACATAAGGAGACCTATTTCTACAAACCCCACCCCACCCCGCCCCATAAACCAGACCCTATATCTCCTCTCCCTCTCCAGTTTCTCTCCCTGGTTGCACCGTCATCATACTTGGACTGGTACAGTAGCATCCTGACAGGTTCCTGCCTCTGCCCCGGCTCCACCCGCTCTCCCTGCAGCAGCCCTAATACCTTGGTGAGACTCAGGGTGGAGCCATCTCTGCTCTGCTCTGAAGGCTTGGGGTTCCTGCCTCACTGGGGTGCATCCAAGCTGACAGTGGCCCTGGCCTGCAGTGTCCCATCCCCCCACAGCCTCCAGCCCTATCACCCCTTGGCCCATATGAATCCCCATCCATTCCCCTCCAGCCCCACCAGCTCCTTCCTGGACCAGGGCCTTTGCAGTTCCTCCCTCCAGGCTCTGCTCTGTGCTTTCCTCAGCTGGAACCTCTCCCTACATCTGCTGCGCTCCCTCCCCCTCTCCTTCAGTCCTTGCCCCAATGTCACCTGCTCTGAGAAGCCTTAAAGCCAGCACGATCTGGCTCCGCCACCTCCACAACCTCAGCACCTGGCACAGTTCCCCGTTCAGAATGATGCAGTCACACGGGTGTTCTGCCACTCAAACCTCTGAGCCTTTGCCAGTGTTGTTCCCTCTGCCTGGAGCATCCTCCACGGCATCTCACCTGGTTGACTCCTAGGCATCCTTCAGGTCTCCTGTGGGAAGCCCACCTCACCTCCCTCAAGAGCGCAGGTCCCCGGTTAGCTCTCATCGCATGATACCTGGTTCTTCATGCATAACTGCTTTAATTTAGCCTGTCCTGTTGACTGGAAACCCCATGGGGCACAGCCTGTGTCTTCCTTAGTCACCCATACCTGGTGCTGAGCTCTGTACTTAGTACCTAGCAGGTGCTTAAGCATACTGGGGACCCGACTTGTCTGGGGGTCTGTTGAGGATGCTGGGAGGCAAGAGGTCCCTGTGGGGTGAGGGAGGGAATGACAGGGACAGGGGACAGGACATGGGCCAGTGTGGAACAAACCCTGCATTTGCTGGAGGATGGGAACAACATCTGCCTGCTCTGCCCACAGCTGCCTGGACGATCAGAATGGAACCAGAGGCCATTGGCCGTCTGCAGATGAGCCTGACATGTGCGGTGGAGCTGGACTGGTCACCCAGCGGTCCTGAGTAATTGGGTCACAGGCCATCCTTACCCTGCATGGATCACAGGACATGGTGAGGCTGGTACATTAGGAAGTGGACTGAACTCATCTTAGTTAAAATAGAATTTGCTAAAATGATTGCTCACATCATTTCCCTGTAATCTCCCTCAGGCTCCGCGGCTGCCTTTCTTCTTCGTGATGCTTGATCACTTGTTATTCTTCTCTTTGCTTAACGACAAGACAACAGAAAAAGGAAGGAGGGGAGCAGAGGCGACACTGTAGCCCATTTTGTAAAAACCAAAGAAACCATTTTGCAAATTGCAGGAAGTGATGAGAAATTAGAGCGGCATTTATGTCCATTACAGCTGGAGATGGAGAGAAAGGTGGTCTGGGTGGGGGTGGAGGTGGAGAGCCCGCCTTGGTCACAGTTACAGGGGCAGCAAGGGCAGTGGAGAGAGCGCTGGACTGGGGCCTCGAGCCCAGAGGTGGGGTTTGCTGGGTCCACGGCTTTAGTGAGCCCTGTGGCTTCACCCAGAACCCTCCATATGTGCACGCAGCTGTGCACATATGTGCACAGCACACGCAGACATGTGCAGACACACACAAACACAGACGTCCATTCACACACAAGGACACAGGCACACATTCACCCCATGTGTGCAAACACACACACACACAGGCACACACAGATTCACACAGACACACAGACACATACATGACTCACACACACTCATACAGACACAAGCACACCAGCATACATTCATTCAATGTATACACACACGCGCACACTCACACGTACACACACACAGATTCACACAGACACACGCAGACCCATACAGATCACTCACACACACCCATTCGCACATAAGCACATGGGCACACATTCATCCCACATGTGTGCACACACACACGCCCACAGAGGCACACACAGATTCACACAGACACATACATACATACCACTCACACACACCAATGTGCACATAAGCACATGGGCACACATTCATCCCACATGTGTGCAGACATACACACACAGGCACACACAGATTCACACAGACACATGCATACATAACACTCACACACACCAATGCACACATAAGCACATGGGCATACATCCCATGTGCACACACACACATTTGCACTCACAGATTCATATAGACACATATAGACACAGAGACACATGAGTCAAACACAAACATACAGACACAAGCACACTGGCATACACTCATCCCATGTATACACACACACTCACACACACATGTGCACACAGATTCACACAGACACACACAGACACATGGATATGTACCACTCACACACACCCATGCGCACACAAGCATGCAGGCACACATTCATCCACGTGCACACACATACATGCACATACGGACACAGAGATGCACACCACTCACACACACCCATGTGCACACAAGCATGCAGGCACACATTCACCCACATACACACATACACATGCACACACAGACACATACAGACACAGAGATGCACACCACTCACACACACCCATGTGCACACATGCACGCAGGCACACATTCATTCCGTGAGCACACACACATGCACACCCCACACAATCCAGTCCATTCCTCCTCTTAGATTCCCCTCTAGTGACCTGCTTTGTTTGCACCCACTGCCATGGCCCTGTGTGACCCCTCTCAGTTCTTACCTGAAGCCCTGCTATACCCTCCTTGCCTTCACTGAGGGGCCGATAAATGGCATTTCTGCTTCCCACCCGAGTTTGGAACAAATTGAAACAAAGACACAGAAGTCAGGTAGATTTAAAAAAA